CACCTGTTTTGGTTGTTTGTCAGTGACTCCGTTAGTTCCCTCTAATGTTTGAGCAACATTTGTTTGGTTTTCATGCTGGGGAACGCAACAAAATTGGGGCTCATCCTGAATGTTGTTTCCCATGAGTAGGGTGGTCACTCTAACCACCTACTCTGAAGCTCTGCTGTGCCGAGATATGAGTGTTCAAAATACACTTGCGGTAGTTTCTGTCACTGACGTCTACCCTGAGGGGTTATAAGATTGGGGGAATAATTCTGAAATTTGCATAAATGCACAGGAAAATGAAAATAAAGCCATGGACTTTAAGTTGAAAGAATTTGTGGAGAATCCTACATGGGATATGCTAGATAAATGTACAAAGTCGAATCTGCTCGTCATTGCAAAGCATTATGACATCAAGGTGGCATCTGGCGATCCAAAAGCAGTAGTCAAAGAGTTAATGGTTACTGCTTTGGTGGTGAGGAAATCCTTCCTGAGGGAGAGGCTGATGAAGGGGGTGCTGCGGGTAGTGGGGTGAGTCCCATAGACCTGCAGCTGCGAGAGGTGAAACTAGGGGCAGGGTGGGAGCAACAGAGATTGGAGCACAAGGAAAGGGAAAGAGAATGTGAGGAAAGATGGGAGCAACAAAAATTAGAGTTTGAGCACATGGAAAGGGAAAGAGAACGTGCAGCCAGACTAGTGCAGGAGGAACGTGTGCATGCCACTCGATCAAGAGACATGGAACTAGAAGCGCGACAAGGAGAGATGGATCTGGAGGTACTCCGAATTGGGTCGGGCCATCCTGTACCCTTGGCGGAGTTTGATCTTGGTCGGAGTGGCCGGCTTATGCCGCTTTTCAGCGAGGGGGAGATGGATGCATGTTTTGTTCTGTTTGAGCGGATTGCCGCATCCCTGGAATGGCCGAGAGACATTTGGCCACATCCCTGGAATGGCCGAAAGACATTTGGCCACATCCCTGGAATGGCCGAGAGACATTTGGTCACTGCTCCTCCAAAGTGTTCTTGTGGGAAAAGCACAAAGTGTACTCCACTTTATCTCTTGACCAGAGTTCAGATTTGACACTGTTAAAGCTGCTATCCTTCGGACTTATGAGTTGGTCCCAGAGGCATACAGACAACAGCTCCATAAATTACGAAAGACAGAATCACAAAGCAAGTTCGCAAGGGAACAAGCATGTCTTTTTGATTGGTGGTGTGGTTCTCGAGGTCAAGGACCTTGAGGATTTAAAGACACTCTCAAGCAGTTCAAGAATTGCCTTTCAGGAAAGGGTTGCGACATACATTTATGAGCACAAGGACCTCACTCTTGAGAAAGCTGCAGTTCTTGCAGATGAGTTTGTGTTGACACATAAAACTACCTTCACAAACAAAGCACCCAATAGTTATCCTTACAAAAAAAGCAATCCAGAGAAGTCACCTCCTAATGCGAGGTTTCAGTCCATTTCTAAAGTGCCCAAAGATAAAGATTGGCAGAAAGCAGTTTTTTTGTATCCGCCAGTTTGTCATTACTACCACGAGAAATGACACATTGTCTCTGTGTCCTAAGTTGAAACAGAAATTAGAGAGAGAAAAGGTGGTTTCTTCCTGTGGGAGAAGAACTCCAGCTCATTAAGTCTCTGGTTTTCCAGATTGACTGACCTTCATGTCTTAAAGTAATGATGGACTGTCGTTTCTCTTTGCTTATTTGAGCTGTTCTTGCCATATTATGGACTTGGTCTTTTACCAAATATGTCTATCTTCTGTACACCCCCCCTACCTTGTCACAACACAACTGATTGGCTTAAACTCTTAAGAAGGCACACCTGTTAATTGAAATACATTCCAGGTGACTACCTCATGATGCTGGTTGAGAGAATGCCAAGAGTGTGCAAAGCTGTCATCAAGGCAAAGGGTGGCTACTTTGAAGAATCTCAAATATAAAATATATTTTGATTTAACACTTTTTTGGCTACTACATGGTTCCATATGTGTTATTTCATAGTTTTGATGTTTTCACTATTATTCTACAATGTAGAAAATAGTAAAAATAAGGAAAAACCCTTGAATGAGTAGGTGTGTCCAAACTTTTGACTGGTACTGTATATACATTTATAAATAAACGAGGTGACTGTTTTGTCTTGCATTTAATTGTTGACAGCAAGTAGACGCCATGTTTATATTGCAGAAAGCGACGCGTGTAAGATGATTATGTTGTGCAATGGAAGTTGTTTTCTGTTGGTGGTGAGCAAACTTCTCCAAGAAAAACATAGGATATATTTGTTGTCTTAAGGGGGAAGGTGTTACAGGCTTTGGTTTTTCCATTTATGTTTTGAGGTTAGACTTTAGAACGTGTAGCACTTTAGCATGTAGGGCGTGCCGATTGGTGTCACCTCGTTAGTCAGTATGTGTTCCACCTGGACTGGTTTGCCATCTCATTAGTGGGAAGGTGTTTCACCTGTGCTGGCCATGGTGCTATTTAAGAGTAGCTGGCCCAGTGCTCCAGTTGTCTTGAGCGATGTGGAGGGACTCTCCCTATTTGATTTCTAGAAAAACATTTATTTGTCTGATTTTGTTTTGAACCATCTTTTTGGTTTGGTTCTTGTCTTTAAGTTTGGTGTGGGTTTTTATTTTGTTTGACTGTTCTTGGGCAAATTTTTGTGGCCGCTCATAGTAGGTGTCTTTTAGGTTCCAGTTGTTCTTGCTATTTAACTTTCAGTGGACACCCCCATGAATGTCTTTCAGAACCCCTCCTAAAACCCCACCTGTTTCGTTTTGGTTGTTGGTCAGTGACTCTTTGTTAGTTCCCTCTTCTGTTTGAACAACATTTTTGGTTTTCTTGCTGGGGAATGTAACAGGGTTAAATGGAATGGTAACTGAAATATGGACACTGACTGTAGGCCTATAACCTCTCACATGTAGCGTCATATAAAATGAACTCCTGCAGAATTATGCATTTCTTGCAGTGAAATTATACATGTTATTTTTGTCTCAGGAAAAGGAGTGGAGCAATATGAATTTCTTTCAGCATCTCTTGAGAAAATGTGAATGTGTGTCATATTTTACACTGTTATGCGAGCACACAGTATTTCAACCACATAAAATATGCACCCAAGACTAACAAAGTCTTATCAGAAAGGCATTTTGTTGTTTTCTCAGCTTTTCATTTCCTTAAAACCGGAAAACAGAATTTTACAAAGGACCATTCTTTCCACTGTTTTGGAGTTATGGAGTTTTTCTACCCAGTCTCTAAACGAAATGGACAACTACCGGTGTTAACTAGATTACTAATGCATTCATTCTATCAACGTAAGACATTCAGGTGAGCACTACTTTTATTTAGTCTTCTGGTGCAACAAGTTATGACAGAAGAGAAGCTGCATGTATCAAACTATAGAAGACAAACAAATGGCCTACCAAATGTCAGAAATTATAACATGGACTATCAAATGGGGAGGGGGGTGCAACTCAATATTAGGAAGTTGTTCTTAATGTTTTGTACACTCAGTGTATATACAGTGCATTTGGAAAGTATGCAGACCCTTTGACTTTTTCCATATTTTGTTACGTTACAGCCTTATTCTAAAAGTGATTATTTTTTTGTATCATCAATCTACACAAAATACCCCATAATTACAAAGCAAAAACAGTTGTTTAATTGTTTTAATTAAAAATAAAAATATCACATTTACACAGTACTTTGTTGAAGCTGTGTGCTTTTGGAAGGTGAACCTTTGCCCCAGTCTGCGGTCCTGAGCGCTCTGGAGCAGGTTTTCATCAAGGGTCTCTGTACTTTGCTCTGTTCATCATTCCCTCGACCCTGACTAGTCTCCCAGTCCCTGCCGCTGAAAAACATCCCCACAGCATGAAGCTGCCACCACCATGCTTCACCGTAGGGATGGTGCCAGGTTTCCTCCAGACGTGACGCTTGGTATTCAGGCCAAAGTTCAATCTTGGTTTCATCAGACCAGAGAATCTTGTTTCTCATGGTCTGATAGTCTTTAGGTGCCTTTTGGCATACTCCAAGCGGGCTGTCATGTCCTTTTTACTGAGAAGTGGCTTCTGTCTGGCCACTCTACCATAAAGGTCTGATTGGTGGAGTGCTGCATAGATGGTTGTCCTTCTGGAAGGTTCTCCCGTCTCCACAGAGGAACTCTGGAGCTCTGTCAGAGTGACCATTGGGTTCTTGGTCACCTCCCTGACCAAGGCCCTTCTCCCCCGATTGCTCAGTTTGGCTGGGCAGCCAGCTCTAGGAAGAGTCTTGGTGGTTCCAAACTTCTTCCATTTAAGAATGATGGAAGCCACTGTGTTCTTGGGGTCCTTTCAATGCTGCAGACATTTTCTGGTACCCTTCCCCAGATCTGTGCCTCGACACAATCCTGTTTCGGAGCTCCACTGACAATTCCTTTGACCTCAAGGCTTGTTTTTGCTCTGACATGCACTGTCAACTGTGGGACCTTATATAGACAGGTGTGTGCCTTTCCAAATCATATCCAATCAATTGAATCAAGTTGTATTAACATCTCAAGGATGATCAATGGAAACCGGATGCACCTGAGCTCCATTTCGAGTCTCATAGCAAAGGGTCTGAATACTTTTCTGTTTTTTATTTTTAATACATTTGCAAACATTTCTAAAAACCTGTTTTCACTTTGTCATTATGGGGTATTGTGTGTAGATTGATGAGGATTTATATTATTTAATCCATTTTAGAATAAGGCTGTAACGTAACAAAATGTGGAAAAAGTCAAGGGGTCTGAATACTTTCCAACTCCACTGTATATTATATTCACCAGTAACAGGCTTAGACAAATTAAACTTTGCAAATAGATGTGCTTATAGGCCTATGCACTGGCTTCCTCTGAATAGTTTTGAATTGAATAACACTAATCAAAATGACTAATTGTTGGGATGTTTGAGAGAAGTCAAGTTGACTGATAATGTAACAGTAAACCATTTAATATTTTAAATTCCTTCTATCAACCTGGGAGTAGAAGCCACCTTTCATCGAGCAGGAAACATACCTGGAGGACAGGAGCACTCTTGAATGACCTCCCTGGTAGTGCGAAGTTTGGGCAGTGCTATGGTCAGTCTCTGAAAGGGGACAACAAGAATGCACAGTGCATAATGTTTATTTGAATGTAGGTTAAATTTTAGATATAAGTATATCTGCTCATCATGCATGGTAATTGTTATTTAGTGGTAGTAATTGACAACCATTTTTGAATGGATCTCCAATTGGATCCCAAATGACTGAATTTGGAGATCAGTCTGAATTAAGGTGTCAAATGAGTAGTTTGCCTAGAGATGAATCATGTTACTAATAGGGCTGTCAGAGATAATCAGTTAACTTTGAATCATGATTAATCGCATTGTCTGAAAGCATCAAAAATACAATCTATACAGCTAAAAACAAATCTAAAGTTAAAAACAATGCGATATCAAAACAAGTTGACTTTGAGGTTAAAGAAAGTGGGCTTTATCAATTTACCTGATTTGACCTTGGACAAAATCAAGAAGTCAATATTCTTTTAATGCTTTTTGTATAAAAAAAAATCATAAATTACAGCTCAATTTGAGCAAATTCTGAATTTGCATTTATCGCGATTAATCACAGCAAATCCTGCAATTAACTATTTTTTATCGTTTGACAGCCCTAGTTACTTGATTATAGTGAACAGCTACCACAATGTTGTGATAAAATAGGCAATCTTACGGAAATCATCCTTCAAAATATTGCATCACTGTCTGATACATGTTTATTGACCTTTTTTTAAAATTACACTTTAAAGTCACCCTCACCTCTTGCACAAGTTTTTCAATGATTTCCTGAAGGCCAGGTACTGTTCCATTCTCATCCTGCGCGAATGCATCGGGATGGATCAGGGACATTCTCTCAATCTCCAATGTCTGCACTCTGTACTCCAGGTACGATGTCTTGAAGAATACCAAAAAACAAAACGCCATAGAACACACCGACAACATGATGCAAAAGACAATTGGCAGCCCTCCTAAACAATGTGAAAAGTTTGATTTGTGGCAGTTGATAGATTCCATGGCCTTCTTATTCTCTGATTTTTCGTGGGATCCCATCCTGACGTCGCCAGCCAAAAAAGTACTATAAATAAATTGTAGTCTTTTTCCTGTGTGCAACATTTCCTGCTACAAATAATTATATTGTCGTACTGCCACTTTGTTACAGTACCGGAGCCATCACTAGAATGAACGTTTATGCTCTGAATATCTTTGAACGGGGAGGGAAGCCACGTGGGCTGTGTAGCTGCGCTCACGCGCTCTCAGGTTGAATGATTTGGACCAGTCAGACACAGACAGGATGCCAAATACCAATGTCGTTCTTGGCACTCCCTGAAGTCCCTTCAATCAAATTAGGCTGCCTGATAATTCATCTCTAGAATAATGGTGAATAAATGGATGAAAACCAGAATAATTAAACTCTTATTCTAAACTAACCCAATGAATGTGTAATAAAACAAAACAATAGCCTAGTCATTCATTTATATATCCACTAAATGGCACTATACTTTGAGAAAATATTGAATTATACAATTCTTACCCAATAATGAAAAAAATGGGGGGGTAATTTAAATGTCATTCAACATTTGAATAAATAACATTGTATAAACAAATAAATCTCTTCAAGGAAAGGTCCATGCCCAAAGTGGATGAGGTGCACTTGTCTATTTCAAATCCCATCGCTTGCAGGTGTGGAACTGGAATCTACTCATGGGGTGTTGTATTGCCATCAACTGGATAAATATGACTACTACAAGCAGACCAACAGACTGCATTCTTATCACTGTTTGTCCTAGTGACCATGCTGCCTTGAAAACGACCAGAAACCATGTCTAACAATCAATCACAACTTTTACGAGCAATCATTTTTTCCCAATGATGTCAAATGTGGCTGACAATATAATATGACAAATCCATTAATTTGAAGTTTAAAAAAAAGAAAAGAAAAAAGGAACACAATGTGAAGGAACACAATTTTGAAAACATAGTAAACAAGTTTATTCATAAATCAAAAGGGATCAACAGGAGTCAGAAAAAAGTTAAATAAATTCAATCTGAAGGAAGCAGGCAGGTAAGCTCAATCGGTATGTAAACGAGGGTAATCATCTCATAGATAGCGGACTGATGCAGTCTATAGAAGTCTCCCTTGGAGTAGAGAAATGTAGAGTAGTGCGCGCTGTGGTCTTCAAGGTCACTTTTTCCTCTCCTTCCTCATGGGGTGGAAGAATGGATGCCAGATGGCCTCTTCCAGGGTGAGCCTCCTGGACACGTCATACTCCATCATACTGTGGATCAGGTCAAACAGCTGCTCGTGGTCTGAGCTCCTAGAGGACATGTATTGCTAAGGGGACAAGAGAAACAGTATATATTAGAAACAGCATCTAGTTGTTGTACAGTATTTAATATGTGCAGATCAATTGAGGTTGTTCCAGTGATTGTATTCTGGTATTTCTGATTCACAAAAGGGTGCTTGCTAGTTGCTACTGAATTGATTGATTTTCTAAGCTAGTTAAAAATAACACAGTACATACATTTTAAAAACTTGACAGGGATATACAATATACAACAATAAAGTCAGTGACTTACTTCCATTGTGGTCCCTAATGTGCATGGTGCTTATCATACAGGTAACTGTAATAGTGTTTGAGTTTTACCTTGAGTGGTTTGCAGTGCTTCCTCACATATCTCCCTGAGGAACTGTGTTCATCCCAGTCCAGCCGGTCATGATGCACATAGCGCCGCTTCCTGGGGACAAAATAAAACCATTTACACATTCTTAATTGACAACATAACCATTTGTCAATGATCATGTAAATTATCTGCATCTTGAAATTGAGACTCAATCATTAACAAACACTAAACCTACTTGGTTTTCTGTAGCAGGTGTACAGGTATGGGCCCCAGAACCCTCTCCATCATGGCCAGGTGTTCTTTGCTGTCATGAGTCTGAAATTTCACAAAGTTAAAGTCCCCCAAAGATACTAGCCTGGTCCCAGATCTGTTTGTGCTTTTGCTTACTCTATTGTCATGGCAAACATGGCAAGAGAGCAGAAATAGGGCTGTTACGGTGACTGTGTTACCGCCACAGCGGCAGTCATGAGTCATGACCGCAGTCAAATTCTACATGACCGCTGAGTCAAGGTAACTAGGTTTCTCCAAAACTGCGCTGTGATGCCGCTGATGGTCATTAGCAGCCTACCAAAACATGCTAACTACCAGTTGCTAATAGCCTGGTACTCAGCGCTCTATTGACCCTCTAATCACTCAAATGCAAACGCAATATAGAAAATCTAATCAAACACTTCATGACAGCCCTGGCATTCAGAGTTCGAGCGGAATAGGATCACCTGTTGCGCAGTAAGAGCCAGCTCCTCACAGCTGGTTGATGCATGGAATGAAATAAGTGTTCCTATAATAAGCCCATGTTGAACAACATTTCTATATACTATGTAATTGTGTGTGAAAATATAGTTTTGATGGCCTCGATTAAAAAAGCAGATCCATCAGCTTTCTACAGGCTTACTATATTTATTTATAAACTTTCCTAATATTAAGCACATTGCTTCGCTTTACAACCGGAGTAGCCTACCTGGCTGGCATAACAATGAACTGCGGGAAAAGCTATTTAAGTGCATATCTCTCGCTCTCTCTCTCATATATAAGTATAGTCAGAGGATCTATCAATTGTATAACACACTAGGGAAAGGAAACATATAGTCAGTCATTTTATGACATAATCTCCAACTCCTGTCATCAAGGGCTCAATCATTTTAGTCAACAAAGCTGTTGAAGCTTGTGTTAACAACTTCCAAAACATTTTACATCGACAAAAGCACATTGCTTCGCTTTACAACCGGAGTAGCCTACCAGGCTGGCATAACAATGAACTGCGGGAAAAGCTATTTAAGTGCATATGGATTGTGGTGCATATGGATTGTGGTCCTCTGTAGCTCAATTGGTAGAGCATGGCGCTTGTAACGCCAGGGTAGTGGGTTCGATCCCCCGGGACCACCCATACGTAAAAATGTATGCACACATAAAAGCGTCTGCTAAATGGCATATTATATTATGTCATTTTTTTCCCCTGCCCCGACAGGTGCATGATAATGGCCTATTCTAAATTCAAACTAATTCCACACATTTTAGTACATGTAAAGACAAAATTAAATTCAGAATACTCTGAGGGGTGAGAATATCACTTGTGAATGATGCCCAGCATGTGCAGTCTAAGGCAAGAAACAGCGCATGCTTTTGCTACTTTTTCAAATCATAGTCGCATGCATCATGTAGCCTAGCCCATAGGCCTATATGTTTTGATAAGGTTTGTATCATAACTAAAAGTGGCCGAATAACTCCAAGTGTAGCTTGTTGACCCCTGGAACAGGGTAGGAGAGCCCATAGCGTACAGAGTGAAACGTGTTCTTATAAGCCCAGTCATTGCGCAATCGCATGTGAAAACAGTTTTGACTGGCCACTATTTAAAAGAGGATCCCAGCTTTCTCGTGCTGCAATATTTATTGCTCAATTCTTTAAATTAATCACATTAATTTGCTTTACAACTGGTGTAGCCAACCAGGCATATAAAAAAATATAACTGCACATAACCTCTATTCGAGTGCAGTTGACTGATTACGTTTTTTTTTTGTTTGGGCCATTCTAAAATCAAAAATAATTCCACACATATATTAGTAGGCTATATGTAAAGACCAGATTAATTGAGAATAGTCTGATGGGTGAGAATATTATCAAGTGCTCGTCAAATTGTGAATGAGAGACTTGGGCCAATTGAGATCGCGTGTGACTAACACATTTCAGTTAATTACTAAAGGTCCTGCCTTGGGCCAATTTAGTAAATTACGGATCTCTATGACAAAACGCATCATTCACCCAAGTTTAGTCAAAATCGGGCCAGTGCCGCCAGATATCGCGTGTGAGTAACGTACGAACGGAGACAGATCTACAGTCCCCTACCCGAGTTCATGGGGGAGAATTCACTTTGTAAGTGCTCAACACAGAATAGCCGCATGTGCGCGCTCCCTCGGAAATCGGTTGGGAAAAATCTTGTCTGCTAAATGAACTAGTGTCGCTCACAGCAATATTGCATAGCCAGACTCAGAATAAGGACTCAGAATATGCCATTCTATTCTTCTGAAATAGGCTGCATTTTCTTCAAATGATCATGTTTAAGACCTGCCCAAAATAAACAGTGGCTTGTAGGCTATGCGTGGAAGATGCTAAACGTGTTTATGTTAAATAAGGGTCATTTACCGTGAGACCTGCAGTTATTTGCATGACAGTTACCAGCTGACAATTTCATGACCGCCACAGCCCTAGGCAAAAAGACTGGCACCCAGGCTACAAATATCAGTCCAAATATTTTTACAAAGGATCTCCCTCTACTGCTCCTGTACCTACCTGGAACAGTGTTAACCCAAGGTAGTACTCTAGGAGAATGCAGCCCAGACTCCACACATCACACGACTGGTTCCACCCCAGCTCTGTGAAAACAAACATTACAACAATTTAGACAACAGCCTATTGGACTTCCATCCATTCCTCACTCTCACCAACACATTGGTTTCTCAACACTTACCAAGGATGACCTCCGGTGCTCTGTAATGGCGGGTGGAGACCACTGAGGTGTGGTGCTCGTGGTCAAAGGTGGCGTTACCAAAATCTACCACTTTCACATCTAGGTTCTTCAAAGTTCTCTCATCCCGTTTCTGCATTTGAAAACACAGGACACTTATTACACACAGATCTAATACACACTATGTCAGGCAGGCAAGTCAGAGGTGGAGTCAGAGAGACACTCCACCAAACTGTCTGCTGCAGCACTCCATACTGACTGGAGGGGAATGGGTAGGGGTGTGCCGATCTGGACCTACTGACTGGTGGGGAATGGGTAGGGGTGTGCCGATCTGGACCTACTGACTGGTGGGGAATGGGTAGGGGTGTGCCGATCTGGACCTACTGACTGGTGGGGACTGGGTAGGGGTGTGCCGATCTGGACCTACTGACTGGAGGGGAATGGGTAGGGGTGTGCCGATCTGGACCTACTGACTGGTGGGGAATGGGTAGGGGTGTGCCGATCTGGACCTACTGACTGGAGGGGAATGGGTAGGGGTGTGCCGATCTGGACCTACTGACTGGTGGGGACTGGGTAGGGGTGTGCCGATCTGGACCTACTGACTGGTGGGGACTGGGTAGGGGTGTGCCGATCTGGACCTACTTGCATTCGTTATCGTATCCATAAATGGACTGTGGACAGTTGCATTGGATGATACACATGATTGGAAAAACTGAAGTGTTTTAATTAAATGCTTAAATAAAAGGCTGGCAATATATCTAATCGTCTCCCTGCAAGTTTCTAGACCAGGAAAGCTGCAGATCAGCAGCAACGGATGTGTGTGTGTATGTAATCATTCAACTTACCATTTTGGCATTGTATTCCATGTCATAGTCAGAATTGACAAAGAGAATATTCTCTGGCTTCAGGTCAGTATGGGTCAGTTTATTTCGATGGAGAACTATAAAACAAAAATTGGTGTAGGTGTTAAGATACCTTCCTTTGTTTCTAAATTCCAATTTACATAAAGAAAACTATCCACCATCTGATAGTATAGTGCACACCGTGCAAGTTACAATGATTTTGCATGAAGATAATTAGTATTAGGTTATTCAAATTCCAAGACACTTGATGTTAAACTCCATATACAGAAATAGAACTTCCCATTTCCATGTTGCTTTTTCCAAACATCAAGCTGTATTATTTATTTAAATTTAACCAGAAAAGTCCCATTGAGACTGGGAGTCTCTTTTACAAGGGAGATCTGGCCAAGAAGGCAGCAGCAGTCATTTCAACATTACAAAATGTAAAATATATATAGTACAATCATGAGACGATTCAGCCTACAGGAAAAAAGGTACACTCCTCCTGAACAGAGTTTTGCAGCACCAGAGTTTTACTCACAGGACACAGCTCTGAAGATCTGGTAGGCCATGTGTCTGATCTGGTCCACAGTGAAAGGCATGAAGCCATTCTCCTTCAGAAAGTCAAAAGTGCTGAGACCCAGAAGCTCAAACACAATGCAGATGTGGCCATGGTAATCGAACCAGTCCAGCATGCGCACACAGCCACTGTATGAGGGCAATAAGAAAACATATTACCACCAATGTTCCCTCCAATTTTTTGGGGCCACTAAGCGGAAACTTGAACAATGTGAGAATTCTGTGCAACTTCCGGCGCGCGTTTACAATGAACACTGAGGCTGTACCCTTACCGTTTTAGACAGTAGCCAATAGGCTATTGTGGCTATTTGATCATAATGTAGGCCTACCAACAAAACCAATGGAGCAAATCCCATAACACTTTCACATGGAAATAGCTTTTGATTTCTATGATATAGCCTACAGTAGCCTATATGTGGTGTTCAATGCAGGCCTACAATGCATGAGACTTTTAAAAAAAATTTTACATTATGAAGGGCTTGACATTAATTCATAATTGTTTACTTGGTCTGTAACACCATGGGCCAAATAGGTGACTAAATTGCATTGTGTTGTATGATGCAAGAAACCACTTTACAAAATAAAAGGTAATTATTATTACCATACAGAGAATTAGACAATGTAGGCTACCTCTCTGCCTATTGGCTTATTTTCTTAGTCAAGCCCGTCTCAAAATACAACACCGCCCCTTTAAATAAGACATAAGCTTTTTACCAGACTGGCTTTTCAAAGACCGCTCGAAATGTAGCCTACACATTGCGCTCTTGTAGGAAGCTGTAACTCCCCATTGCTGACCTATACTTATCTATAACTGGGCCTAATAACTCGCTAACTAGCAAAGAATATCAACAAATGTGATCTGAAAAGCGCGAGTGCTCGATGGCTACCCCCGCCAATAGAATTCTACTCCATTGCGCTCTGGCTCTGCCTACAACAAAATCACAGACTCAATCTTGCAAAGTTACATTTGTTGCTTGCATTGAAAAGGGGCTGATATGTTGTTTCAATCACTGAAAAAACATTGATCTATATAGTGCAAACTAATGGGGCGAACTCAGTGAAGTTCAATCTCTTGCGTCTCTGTATGGCCTAGCATTTCTTCGGCGTGGTAGTCCTGGAGGTGGTGCGCAGATTAGCGGGAACGTTGATTACCACCGTTTGTATAGCACCTCCAAGCACCTAAGCAGCTGGACAGAGGTATATACGAATGTTGTAGGCTAAAATGTGTGTCCCTTAGTCCCGGTTACTCACAAGGTTCTCTCGTCGTCCAGGGAGTTCATCTGCTCCAGCACCTCTACCTCAGACATAGCGGCCTCCCGGTAACGATCAATGTTCTTAATGATCTTCAGCGCCACCCTATTGTCATCACTACAAAAGCAGAGGTTGACAGAGAGAAAAGCATTGAGATAATGCCATGAGTGGAAACCCATCCGGTTGGCTTGAACAAGAAATAAAGATTTGTGTTACTTACTTCGAGTTGTCAATACATTCCACCACTTTCCCGAATGCGCCTTCTCCTAAAGTGGATACAATCTCATCTAAAGGGGCAAAGGAGAAGCTGTTAGTACATCAGAACAGAGCGTCTACAACACAAGAACAGATCAAAACTAGACTAGCAGCTACTCACTCTGGCTACATAGCATTTGTCACTTCCCTCCTATTCCTAGGAAACTACTACAATAATAGTTCTCTAGCCTTACTGCTAATAGACGGATGAAGAGAAAAAAAAACTCTTCCAAATCTCAAAGGTTTAACATATTTCTTAAAAGATTCCAATGCCCCGAAGCTATACCCTACCTATACTGACATTCAAACATACAGACAAAAGGGTTACAGAAAGAAAGGTTTGTGTTCTATACATCTTGCTTTTAGTACGAGTCCATTGTGATAGATCAGGTGACCCTCCTCATCATCCTCAAAACTTCTGGATCTCTTCCTGCGGTGACTCCTCTGGAAGGGGAGGGGGGGAGGGGGGGGGTTCATGGCCACCAGCATCACCACCATCATCACCATCATCATCATAAACCCGTCCAGAACCAGGACAGAATGCGCCAATCATTCATTCAGCGGGAGGAAGTTGATGAGGGGGAGGATATTCGGCCCATTCAGAAACCCAGGCCAGGCCACGGCAGCAGCAATTTCAAATGCATCCCCGAGAAACGCACAGGTGCCACCATAATGTGTGTTACAGAAGAAAAACATGGCAACATATTTTCAGACATGACTCACAATAGAAGTTCTTTCAAGAAATTATAAGAGTAGTGATACAACAGAAGTGCAGTAGGACATCATCCACGGTTCAATGGCTGAGTTTTATGGAAGCATAGCATCTAATATTTGTGCCGAAATTAATATCTTAATCCAATCACTTAGATTGAACTGATTGTTTAACATTGTTTTTAAATAATAAAGCAAAGCACTGTTTTGGAATACCAGACCAATTAGTAATAACTATGCAAATTCAAATAACCCCAATAACAAAATGATCAACCATAGATGATTACTGTTCTACTATGCGATCACCCAATTCCACAGACAGAAAGAGTTAGACAGGTGGAGAGTATCATACCGAGTCAGAGCACCCCTGGCTGTGACGACGGGAGCGGTGTCGTGTGCGACTGCTCTGGTGGCTCCGGCCACTGCGTGCGGAGGATTTGCTGTAGTGGTGCCAGTCTCTGTTCCTCCGCTCTTTACCCTTGGCCCCATCCCTCTCCTTGTCCCCATGGCTCTCCCTCTCCACACTGGGCTCCCGGGCCCTCCGCTCCCTGCACTCCAGCCTCTTAGAGTCAAGGTGACACCTGTGGCCAAGGCAGACTACAGTTCACACACACAACCTGGAAACTACAAGGTCATGTTCATTGGTCAAGTGGGAGAGAGTTATTAAAAAAAAAACATTTTAAATCAAGCAATCACAGCAATCTTTTGATGGGATATAACTTGTGATCATACACTGCATGTGAAATTCTGACTGATCACCATCATTGGCTCGACAAGTGTCCACTTGCTAAGGATGAGAATAAGGGATGAATACAGAATACAACAGGGATGTTGATAAGGTAATCTCAGGCTTGTGGTATTATTCATCAGCCCTTGCAGCAGGGGTGTAGGAGGAATGTTATGTCTTGACCGGTCAGGCGCCAGTAGGCAGCATCAGCCAAGTATCTAAAGACCTCCTTCCCCTCCCCACGACACCCATGTTATAGACCGGACTGTCGTCATGCCTGTGAGAGGGGTTAGTAACCTCTCACACACATTCCACATTCATTCCTGGAATGGAGGTCATTCCTTCACCTGACAATGTTATAGTAGTAAATCCCACCTCCCATCAGCCGTCATGTTATGGCATGGAGTAGTAACTTGATCACAAGAACACCAAGGATTTATTGGTCAATACTGTGTTTATGATTGCCGTGGAACCTGCAAACTTGTACTTGCATACTTGTTCAATGCAATTGTAAATAGACAAAAGTATACAAATTCAGCAGCACGGTTAGTGCACCCTATCAAATGAATATTTGGGTGACTTAAAATGATAAAAAATTTGCATTTCCAACAGTGCTTGTTTCTTTATTTTTGTATTTAACCCTGAAAATTATATTTTATCTAGGCCTACATAAACAGTACAAAGAACACAATCCCGGTTAATGTCCAGGAATACTATTCCTGTGATTGTATAACTGTTTACAATTAATAGTCATTGTGGTGTTTACATTTGAATTCCCCTTGCCATAATAAAATGTTAGATGTTCTGATAGAGGTCTTATGACAGTATCTTCAAGAATATCAGCTGAACATTTTCAACAAAGCTGACCCTAAATAGAATCAATTACATTCTTCATTCGTCGTAGCTTTAATAGTTGATGTTACATGAGCAGAATGTCTTATTTACCTTTCGTATGTTTTATAGTGGTGGTAGCGCCTCGGTCTCTTTTCCCGGTCACTGCTATGTGAACTTCGCCTCTGCCGTTTGCGAATCTCCAGCTTCTCCTCATAGCTATACTCCTCAACCCAGCCATCAGGGTGTCGCATGCGCTTGGAACGCCGCATCTGCCAAACAAGTAAAGGCAGTGAGTCTATGCAATAAAAATTACGACGACTTAGAAAGCCTATCCTCATGCATTCCTTTACATATAGGTTGTAAAATCCATGCCAGCTGCAATGAAGAGAACACGCTGCCCCTGGCTCCTGACAGGACTCCTGACTGTCTGCTTGTCATGTCTCACATGTTGTCAGCTGTGCCTGGACTGTGGACATAGTTAATGTTCTACTTCAGAACAAAATATATTAATACAGCTAAAGTTAGCTAACCCATGTTTGGCTGATATAAAGGACAGATGCTAGCTAAACGTTAGCTGGTATGTGTGAGGCTGTTTAAATCGCTTAAAATCCTCGCTTAAAATCCACACATGAAACGTTAGATAGCCAGCTACATTGTATAATTACAACGTAGCTGTGTCATACCAGTATTCGTTAAGCAACACCACTTCCTTGGGTCGTCACTAGTTACCACAGACAGAATCATAAAGCCCGCCTATTTCTACAATTTATCTTCTTAAAATCTGACTTTAAACCTAACCCCACTGCTAACCTTATACCCTAACCTTAAATTAAGACAAACCTAAATGTTGGTTTTCATTCATTTTTACGTGGCTGTGGTTACGTTAACTAGTGGAAACCACTTCCTTGTGTTATGTTAACTAGGTAACAGTTAGTTAGCTATGTCAACAATAACCAACAATTCCCTACTGCGCTAACAACAGGTATCTAGCTAACGTTAGACAACTGTTTATCGGTTAGTTTCGATATGCCACCATCAGATAGTTACCTTCAGACAAATAAATAAACTCTAACATGCTGCAACTGACAGTTCTGGAACGAAGAGGCTAGCTAACGTTAGCTTTAACGACAAGATGGTTTATTGAGCTTTTAAGTTTAACGTAGTGAGCTTATATTTCACAGTTAAACACAAAAATACCCTCACCTTAAACAACTGGTTGTCAAGTTCTGAAATAAGACCCTGTACTTTCCAGCCAAGCTAAGGGAACGATATTTTAAATCAGGTTGCAAATTATTTTACGACCACTGGTATACATTCTCCTAATCCTCAAAAAAAATGGCGACCGTGTGGTTTGGAACAAAGCCCTTTGACGTCAGCGGAAAGATGGGAAATGAAGTTCATTCCGCTCACTCAACGCATATCTTCTCAATTTCAACGTTGCCGAAATGTATCTCCTATTTTGATACTGACAGATCATTATTTCTACGGTAAATATAAAAGCAGTCTCTCACCTCAACTTATCAGATACATACAATATTGTATCCAGTTTAACCCTGGACAAAACTTTTTCCCAATGAGAAAACCATGACAAAAGCATCAAAAAAGGTTCCATACATTGCCCTCTCTCAAAATGAGTAGGCCTGAGGAATTTGAAAGAGGCAAAAGATGTGTCCTTCCATAATAGCTCAGCAGAAACATTCAGAAAATGTTGTTGGGGTGTATACAATGGCAACATGAAAAACATTTAAGCAATAAGGAATGAGAACCTTTGGTATGGCCTAACAGTAGATCCCCCAATGATGAGTTATGTCATGAGAAAACACTATTTCCAGATGGTCATTCAGTGTTGACACAAATAAATTGACCTGACCTAACACGGCTGATGCCATAAATCGTTTTTGGACATGGGGAGGTAATAATTTGCTGGCAGGGTTGCATGTTTATGACCATCACTTCAGCTAATATTAGCCCCTCTATTTTATGAATATCGTTGCAGCTTCGCTTACAGGTCTGTTTTTCAATGCAGCTGGTTCAAGTGTAAGCACAGATGCACAGTCAGGTCTATAATTATTGGCACCCTTGCTAAAGATTAGTAAAAAAAAAATACAAGAATGTTTTATGACATTGGAGAATACATTGGGCGGGATCATAGACCATTCCTTCATTCAGAATCTTTCCAGATCCTTGATATCCTTCGTATGCTCTTATGGACTGCCCTCTTTAATTGAAACCACAGGTTTTCAATGGAGATCAAGTCCGGAGACTGAGATGGCCATTGCGAAATGTTTTTTTTTTTGTCAATTAACCATTTCTTTGTGTAAATGTGATATTTCTAAAAACCTGTTTTTGCTTTGTCAACATCAACATTTCGCAATGGCCATCTCAGTCTCCGGACTTGATCTCCATTGAAAACCTGTGGGGGAACAATTGAATCAATATTAGAATAAGGCTGTAACCTAACAATATGTGGAAAAAGTCAAGGGGTCTGAATACTTTCCGAAGGCACTGTGTGTGTACAGTACCAGTCAAAAGTTTGGACACACCCACTCATTCAAGGGTTTTTATTTGTACTATTTTCTAAATTCTAGAATAATTGTGAAGACATCAAAACCATGAAATAACACATGGAATCATGTAGTAACCAAAAAAAGTGTCAAACAAATCAAAATATATTTTAGATTTTAGATTCTTCAAAGTAGCCACCCTTTGCCTTGATGGCAGCTCTTGGCATTCTCTCAACCAGCTTCATGAGGAATGTTTTTCCAACAGTCTTGAAGGAGTTCCCACATATGCCGAGCACTTGTTGGCTGCTTTTCCTTCACTCTGTGGTCCAACTCATCCCAAACCATCTCAATTGGGTTGAGGTCGGGTGATTGTGGAGGCCAGGTAATCTGATGCAGAAATCCATCACGCTCCTTCTTGGTCAAATAGCCCTTACACAGCCTGGAGGTGTGTTTTGGGTCATTGTCCTGTTGAAAAACAAATGATAGTCCCATTAAGCGCAAACCAGATTAGATGGCGTTTCACTGCAGAATGCGGTGGTAGCCATGCTGGTTAAGTGTGCCTTGAATTCTAAATAAATCACAGACAGTGTCACCAGCAAAGCACACCCACACCATCACACCTCCATGCTTCACGGTGGGAACCACACATGCAGAGATAATCCGTTCACTGACTCTGCGTCTAAAAGACACGGCGGTTGGAACCAAAAATCTCAAATTTGGATTTATCAGACCAAATTACAGATTTCCACCGGTCTAATGTCCATTGCTCGTGTTTCTTGGCTCAAGCAAGTCTCTGCTTCTTATTGGTGTCCTTTAGTAGTGGTTTCTTTGCAGCAATTCGACCATGAAGGCCTGATTCACGTAGGCTCCTCTGAACAGTTGATGTTGAGATGTGTCTGTTACTTAAACTCTGTGAAGCATTTATTTGGGCTGCAATCTGAGGCTGATAACTCTGATGAACTTATCCTCTGCAGCAGAGGTAACTCTGGGTCTTCCTTTCCTGTGGAGGTCCTCATGAGAGCCAGTTTCATCATAGCGCTTGATGTTTTTTGCGACTGCACTTGAAGAAACTAAAATAAAGTTGTTTACATTTTCCGGATTGATGGACCTTCATGTCTTAAAGTAATGATGGACTGTCGTTTCTCTTTGCTTTTTTGAGCTGTTCTTGCCATAATATGGACTTGGTCTTTTACCAAATAGCGCTATTTTCTGAATACCACCCCTACCTTGTCACAACACAACTGATTTGCTCAAACGCATTAAGAAGGAAATAAATTCCACAAACAAGAAACGAATTGAAATTCATTCCAGGTGACTACCTCAAATCCAATCCAATTTATTGGTCACATACACATGGTTAGCAGATGTTATTGCGAGTGTAGCGAAATGTTTGTGCTTCTAGTTCTGACAGTGCAGCAATATCTAGCAAGTAATATCTAACAGTTCCACAACAAAAACCTAATACACACAAATCTAAGTAAAGGAATGGAATAACAATTTATAAATATATGGATGAGCAGTGTCATTATCAGAGTGGCATAGGCTAAGATGCAATAGATCGTATAGAATACAGTATATACATATGAGATGGGTAATGCAAGATATGTAAACATTACTAAAAGTGGCATTATTAAAGTGAATAGTGTTCCATTTATTAAAGTGACCAGTGATTTTCAAGTCTGTATGTAGGCAGCAGCCTCTCTGTGCTAGTGATGGCTCTTTTACAGTCTGATGGCCTTGAGATAGCTGTTTTTCATTCTCTCGGTCCCAGCTTTAATGCACCTGTACTGACCTCACCTTCTGGGTGATAGCGGGGTGAACAGGCAGTGGCTCGGATGGTACTTGTCCTTGATTATCTTTTTGGCCTTCCTGTGACTTTGGGTGCTTTAGTTGTCCTGGAGGGCAGGTAGTTTGCCCCCGGTGAAGCATTGTACAGACCGCACCACCCTCTGGAGATCCCTGAGGTTTTGGGCGGTGCAGTTGCCGTACCAGGCGGTGATACAGCCCGACAGCATGCTCTCAATTGTGCATCTGTCAAAGTTTGTGAGGGTTTTAGGTGACAGGCCAAATGTCTTCAGCCTCCTGAGGTGTGGGTGGACCATTTCAGTTTGTCAGTGATATGTACGCAGAGGAACTTAAAACTTTGCACCTTCTCCACTGCTGTCCCGTCGATGTGGATAGGGGGGTACTCCCTCTGCTTTTTCCTGAAGTCCACGATCATCTCCTTTGTTTTGTTGATGTTGAGTGAGAGGTTATTTTCCTGACACCACACTCCGAGAGCCTTCACCTTCTCCCTGTAGGCTGTCTCATCGTTTGTTATCTGCAAACTTGATGATTGAGTTGGAGGTGTGCATTGCTACACAGTCATGGATGAACAGGGAGTACATGAGGGGGCTGAGCACACACCATTGTGGGGCCCCAGTGTTGAGGATCAGTTGAAGTGGAGATGTTGTTTCCTACCTTCACCACCTGGGGGCGGCCCGTCAGGAAGTCCAGGAAACAATTGCACAGGCCAGGGTTGAGACCCAGGGCCTCAAGCTTGATGATGAGCTTGGAGGGTACTGATGTGTTGAATGCTGAGCTATAATCAATGTACAGCATTCTTACATAGGTATTCCTCTTGTCCAGATGGGATAGGGCAGTGTGCAGTGTGATGGCAATTACATCGTCTGTGGACCTATTGAGGTGGTAAGCAAATTGAAGTGGGTCTAGGGTGACAGGTAAGGTGGAAGTGATATGATCCTTGACTAGTTTCTCAAAGCACTTCATGATGACAGAAGTGGGTGATTCTGGGCGATAGTCATTTTGTTCAGTTACCTTTGCATTCTTGGGTACAGGAACAATGGTGGCCATCTTGAAGCATGTGGGGACAGCAGACTGGGATAGGGAGAGATTGAATATGTCCGTAAACACACCAGCCAGCTGGTCTGCGCATGCTCTGAGGACGCGGCTAGGAATGCCGTCTGGGCCGGCAGCCTCACGAGGGTTAACACGTTTAAATGTCTTACTCACGTCGGCCACGGAGAAGGAGAGCCCACAGTCCTTGGTAGCTGGTGCGTCGGTGGCACTGTGTTATCTTCAAAGCGGGCACAGAACTTGTTTAGCTAGTCTGGCAGCAAGATATCGGTGTCTGCCAAAACCTCTGAGCTTTTAGCCTTTACATTAATACTGTGCAACATGACATAAACCATCTTTCAAATAGGTAATACATACAGTAATATGCACGAAGCAACATGTAATCCTTCACATTTGAGCTTTTCTGTGCCATTAAACACTAATCAATACATGAAAACATTTTAAATGAACACATATTTTTAACCTGATATAGGGAATACATACCTGTTCAACATCAAGGAGAGAAAATGTTCAAAACTCTACCCTCGACCAGAATCCGCCTAACATAAAAAGAACAACGTGGGCTTCAACACAAGAGGATAGAATGACGATTGCTAACTTACAGCTAAACAGAACACGAGGTTAGCTAAGTTAGCAATTTCTCAAACTCTCAAAAATAGCTAAATTCACGACACAGCTTGATTAAATGTACGTACACTCATCATATAATATACATACAAGTTACTATGTGCACTGAAACGTTTTAGTTTTAACAGGTATATCAAGTTTATATCACCGCGACGTGGCTGGTTTTCCTATTGTAGTCCGTGATTGTCTGTAAACCCTGCCACATACGTCTCATGTCTGAGCCGTTGAATTGCGACTCCACTTTGTCTCGATGTTGACGTTTTGCCTGTTTGATTGCCTTGCGGAGGGAACGACCACTCTGTTTGTATTCTGCCATATTCCCTGTCACCTTGCCATGGTTAAATGCGGTGGTTCATGCTTTCAGTTTTTTGCGAATGCTGCCATCTATCCACGGTTTCTGGTTAGGGTAGGTTTTAATAGTCACAGTTGGTACGACATTTACTATACACTTCCTTATAAACCCACTCACTGAATCAGTGTATACGTCTATATTATTCTCATAGGCTACCCGGAACATATCCCAGTCCGCGTGATCAAAACAATCTTGGTCAGACCAGCATTGAATAGTCCTAAGCATGGGTGCTTCCTGTTTGAGTTTCTGCCTATAGGAAGGGAGGAGCAAAATGGGGTTGTGGTCAGATTTGCCGAAAGGAGGGCGGGGGAGGGCCTTGTATGCATCGCGGAAATTAGTGTGACCATGGGTCAGTTTTTTTTTCCAGCGCGAGTGCTACAGTCAATATGCTGATAAAATTTAGGTTGCCTTTTTCTCAAATTTGCTTTGTTAAAATCCCCAGCTACAATAAATGCAGCCTCAGGATATATGGTTTCCAGTTTGCATAAAGTCCAGTGAAGTTCCTTGAGGGCCGTCGTGGGTATCGGCTTGAGGGGGGGATATACACGGCTGTAACAATAACCGAAGAAAATTATCTTGGGAGATAATACATTCGGCATTTGATTGTGATGAATTCTAGGTCGGGTGAACAAAATGACTTGAGTTCCTGTATGTTGTTACAATTGCACCATGAGTCGTTAGTCATGAAACATACCCCCCCACCCTTCTTCTTCCCAGAGAGATGTTTATTCCTGTCGAAGTGATGTACTGAGAACCCAGATGGCTGTATGGACGGGGACAGTATATCCCGAGAGAGCCATGTTTCCGTGAAACAGAGTATGTTACAATCCCTGATGTCTCTCTGGAAAGCAACCCTTGCCCTGATCTCGTCAACTTTGTTGTCTAGGGACTGGACATTAGCGAGTAATATACTCGGAAGCGATGGTTGGTGTGTGGGCCTCCTAAGTCTGACTAGAAGACCGCTGCGGCTCCCTCTCCTCTGGCAGCGTTGTTTTGGGTCGGCCTCTGGAATCAGTTCAAATGCCCTGGGTGGTGCGGACAAAGGATCCACTTCGGGAAAGTCGTATTCCTGGTCATAGTGCTGGTAAGTTGACGCTGCTCTGATATCCAATAGGTCTTCCCGGCTATATGTAATAACACTTAAGATTTTCTGGGCTAACAATGTAAGAAATAATACATAAAAAAACGAAATACTGCAAAGTTTTCCTAAGGACTAGAAGCGAGGCAGCCCTCTCTATCGGTGCCATCTTATAGGATGAAGCTGGTTGAGAGAATGCCAAGCGTGTACAAAGTTGTCATCAAGGCAAAGGGTGGGTACTTTGAAGAATCTCAAATATAAAACATATTTTGATTTGTTTAACACTTTTTTGGTTACTACATGATTCCATATGTGTTATTTCGTAGTTTTGATGTCTTCACTATTATTCTACAATGTAGAAAATAGTAAAAATAAAGAAAAACCCTTGAATGAGTAGGTGTCCAAACTTTTGACTGGTACTGTTTATGTAATATATATTTTAATAGTCTGTTTTTATTGATCTATACAATATATTAAATACTTGTTTACTTTCTAGCATTCAAAATAAGATCTATTCACTACTGGGACAAGCCACAAGGGCACATTGCTTGCCCTTAGTACTTTAAACAATGCATTAAGATAAGGTTTTGCAGTATAAAAGGAGTTATAGATAAACAGCTCGTTATAAACAAAAACATGTACGATGTCTATTTGTCATTTTAACGTGTTTTTCATGGTTTTTCAATGCCAACGCAATTCAAGAATGACCCAAAAGATAAAGACAGTTATTTATGAGAAAATACAAATGATGTGATCATCTCACGTCACAATACTTTCAATGAAAGGAAGAAATATGTTTTATTTTACCTCTGAGAAATGACCACCAACAAAAGTATTCTTCAGCTTCTGTATTGTTCATCCAACGCTCTCCAACCCTGTTCCTGGAGCACTGCCCTCCCATAGTTTTCTACTCCAACCCCAGTTGTAACCAACCTCATTCAGCTTATCAACCGGATTAGAGTTGGAGCGAAAACCTATAGGACGGTAGCTCTCCAGGAACAGGGTTGGAGTGACCTGGTTCATACTGACCTAATTTCAGTCTGTCTGCTATTTGATGTTTCCATCAGTAGGGGGCATAGACACTTCATTAGTCAAAGGACAATATGTGCCGCAACACAAACACTGCTTGGAACATTTGATTCGTTCTTCCAACTGAATGACTGACTGGACTCAACTTTATGAATCCACACAAAGCACATGCCTGTTTGTGTGCCACAGCCACAAACAAAAACAGGCATTTGGCTTTTCAGGTATATTTAACCACAGACGACCATGGATACTGTTTGTGAAAGACTGGATCAGTGAAACCCAGTCATGCAGGTTTATTTGGTTTCATTTGGAATACCCTGAGTATGATTTTAAAAAATGAATGTCAGGGAATATAGCTGAACTATTAGTTTAATGTGTTTCAATGCAAGGTCAATCTGACCACTTACACTTGACCCCAAAGAAAGTGGAGGGGAAAAGAGCTTAAGGCATGTGTATGAATGAAAATGGAAACCATTAGCAGCTCCTCTTAAACCAATAATTCAATTTAACTAAAGAGTATAATAAGGGGTGAAAATGAGGAGTGGTGGAATGGGGTCGGGTGGGATGGGGTCGGGTGGAATGGGGTCGGGTGGAATGGGGTCGGGTGGGATGGGAGGAGTGACTGTTTTCATTTTCTGAAGAGCACCCCCCCCACCCCCCTCGCATGAAGAGTGTGAGTCCCTTGTTTTGACACATAGGGAATTGAAAGCTCTCAGTGGTAATTGGAGTACCTCCCTGATGTGGTCAGAGTATGGAACTGAATCACCTTTTGTCACACAGTAGCCTATAGGGACTGGGCTGGCCAATACCCCATCGCCGATACCAGGAGTCTATATGCCAGGAGTACAGTTAAATACTTTAACTGGTTTCACTTTCAGAGTTGTAATCCTAACAAGAGAAGCAAACATCAAAAAGATAATTGCATTGTCTTTTTATCTCACTCGTCTTCTATCTCCCATGATAGTAGTAACACGATGGACAAGAACTTTAAAGGAGTAGCTAGGTCGTTGTATGTGTAATGGTCTCATGGTACCCCTTTCACTGTGACATTCATAGACTGGCACCTGACCACATAACTCCAGCCAAGCCAAACAGATTTGATGGCATCAGTAAAGTCTACTGAGGAGGAGCGCTCCTCACGCCAAATGAAGTGGGTCTCTCTGGTCAGGATCAATATATCCCTGAGCATCTGCCAGGCCAGGATCATAAATCCAAGATGCTATGGGAGAGAGCTAGAGGGATGGAGGCTAGAGAGGGGGGGGAGAGAGTGAGAGGATGGTAGAGCAAGGAGAGAGAGGCTCCTCTTAGCGTAATGGATGACGGTTCAAAAGTTTAACGCGCCGGGCACCCGCTCGCGTCTTTATAACCCCTTGAGTCATTGTGTGTGGGTGAGGGCGGTGCACATTGATGGCCATTAAACAAAATGGGAAAGCTGGGGGGGTGGGGTGTAGTGGGGTGGGCTGTGCATTAGGGAAATTGCCTCCGCCTGTGACGCTGCATTGTACTGAAGTAATTACAGCTGGTAGAGAGATGCTGAGGCCGTGCTTTGCCTCTGCGTGTGCGGCCGTTGTGGGTTGGTCTGCCGAAACCCAACACAGCACGGCTAAGGGGATGGGGCTGTATGGTTATTGATGAGGTGGATGAGGAGGGAGATAGCAAGAGATCGGGAGAGAGAGAGAGAGAAAGGGAGAAAGGGAGAAAGAGAGGGGGAGGAATGGGCGGGGATCCATGACATGGCAGTCCTAGGAAGCCTTCGGGATGTTTGGTCGGTAGGGAGTGCTATCAGTGGAAGGTAAAGGTGTTTTACATGCTAAATCAATTGGATCATTATGGGTCAACTACATGTGCTTAGAGGACTGGGCCGTTGGCTACGCTAGGTGATTACTAGAGCTGGACATACACCTGCAGTATGGGACTCACCTGCTTCAAGTCTTGGAAGTACAACAGCGCCACTCAGAAAGGTGAGTGAGATGTCAACCCTTGCCTCACACACTCCTCCTATCATACTATCCATCAGCCATTATCATGAGACAGGTCTTGGTCATTTGAACCTGGCTTGGGCAGGTCTACTTTGTGATTGTTTCCTCATATTCAGCAGAAAGTAAGCATGCTTTACTGTGACCATAGTGAAAAAGCTAAATGTAGAGTTACTTTACACTACAACCTTTGGAAATACTTCAGTACTTTTACCATTCATATTGCTTTTTCATAATATGCATCAATAAAGCTAAACTCAAGGCAAAAGTGTGAGTTATGAAGAATCTTTCTACTAATGTTTCTACTTGTTGAAAATGAAATACTTGCACTGATGTCCTTATGTGGCCAAATGTCATTACAGTTCAGTTCATGTGTATGGCAGATGATTCAGTGTGTACAGACCATGCTTGATCATTTCTAATTTGATCATATCACTATGGAATGCTGGGGGTAAGAGGAGGGCAACTCAAAGAGCATTAATTACATCCCCAAGGGAGAATTGGGTCATCCAGTCCTGATGTACTTTCCCCTATCAAACACTCATATGCAGATAACATGGGGCTCCGAGGGGGACCAGAGAGTGATGTAGTGATGTAGTGATGTAGTGTCTCTTGGTGCCCTTGAGTGACATCAGTGCATGTTCATTGGTGTTCCGAGGTAGGAGGAAGGGGGGCAGGAGAGGAAGAGTACATTAAAGCTGTTATAACCAGGCCCCTGATTTACAGTACCTGATGGATGTGGGACAGGGAGGGGAGGAGGGTACTCAAAATAATGAGCTGAGGGAGGGGATGAGATAGGGATGAGACAGTCATCTGACAAAAGACTAAAAGATTGAGCATCATTCTACTAATTGTAAGTTCCTCTGGATAAGAGCGTCTGCTAAATGACTAAATGTACAATGTAGAGAAATGTGGACAAACAGGCTGGAGTGTAATTTTTGTTAGGAAAGGCTTGTTCTACCCCATAACGCTGTTGCATTACACTAAATAATCTTGGAATGAAATCACTTAACTTTCCTGAATCAATATAAATAATTGAGAGTCTCTGATAAAGATCACACACTGTACACCCACATCACATGTAGGGTCTGCTCAGCTCCGTTATCGCAGCTTAGGTTGAGGAATGCCTTGTATTCAGAGCTGCTTGGAACAGGCTATTACAGTAGAGGTGTAGCTATTGATAAAGCCACTTAGATGGACTTATTTTACATCGCTGTCCTTGTTAAGAAACGTGTCTCGCCTGAAATGAATCACCGTCCGCACTCTTTCCCAGAGAATGTGTGCAGAATTGAGAGCACCATTTTTATTGCCTCCAGAACCCCATAACTTGATTTATATCTCCGGGAAAAATGTATGAAAAAAGGCAGCAAGAGTTTTAATTAAATTATGAAAATCAATGAGCTCCTCTTCCCTTGTTGAACCCGAGAAGTGCTTAAAGATAAGGAATGGCCACCTGATTCTATCCGGGCTCTTGTCCAGCTATCATTCTAGCAGAGAGGACACAGTGACCGGAAGGAGCTAGAATCACGTCCTGTACTATTACAGAAAAATGGCCTGTTTAATTGTCTGGAATTAATCCCAACAACTCGCAGTCGGCAAGCATAAATCACACGTACAGGAAAACCATTCTTCTGGGACTGGTGTATATACAGTAGATCATTGAACATTACTACAGCACTCCCACTTGTTATTTCCAAGAAAGCCCACTTGTGTACATAAGGATCCTGCACTGCTTTTCCCAGCACCCACACTCTTCAAAGATGAACAAGATTTCAAAGAGAAGGAGAGTGGGGATTGTGAAATGCATGGAATGAAAAACAGTATTAATCTGTATCGCCATTTAGGGATTTGTCATGTTTGACTGGTGCTGTGGTGTGACGGTACGACCATGAGAGGATCTCAGTCTGTGGGCCTGTGGAGACAGGCAGAGAGGACAGACACTGACACTGCATATACCAGTTCATTCACGCACATTCTGACCCTCTCTCTGTTTGAGTGAAGGAGAGATGAAAATACCTGACCTGCACTATCAGAATTACTGTAATTGTAACTAGGCCACTCAGGAACATTCAATGTCCTTGTGTTTTAGGTTATTGTCCTGCTGAAAGGTGAATTTGTCTCCCAGTGTCTGTTGGAAAGCAGACCGAACCAGGTTTTCCTCTATGATTTTTCCTGTGCTTAGCTCTATTCCGTTTATTTTTCATCCTAAAAAATCCCTAGTCCTTGCCGATGACAAGCATACCCATAACATGATGCAGCCACCACCATGCTTGAAAATGTGAAGAGTGGTACTCAGTGATGTGTTGTGTTGAATTTGTCCCAAACATAACGCTTTGTATTCAGGACATAAAGTAAAGTTTTAGCAGTTTTACTTTTATTCTGTACAGTCTTCCTTCTTTTCATTCAGTCAATTAGGTTAATATTTTGGAGTAACTACAATGTTGTTGGTCCATCCTCAGTTTTCTCCTATTACAGCCATTAAACTCTGTAACTGTTTTAAAGTCACCGTTGGCCTCATGGTGATATCCCTGAGCGGTTTCCTTCCTCTCCAGCAACTGAGTTAGGAAGTACGCCTGTATCTTTGTAGTGACTGGGTGTATTGATACACCATCCAAAGTGTAATTAATAACTTCACCATGTTCAAAGGGATATTACGTGTGTGTGTTTAAAAAAAAATAAACATCTACCAATAGGTGTCCTTCTTTGCAAGGCATTGGAAAACCTCCCTGGTCTTTGTAGTTGAATATGTGTCTGAGATTCACTGCGCGACTGAGGGACATTACAGATAATTGTACTTGTGGGGTACAGAGATCAGGTAGTCATTCATTCAACAATCTTGTCCATGCTATCTTGTTAAGCACAATTTAATCCTGAATTTATTTAGGCTTGCCATAACAAAGGGGTTGAATACTTATTGAATCAAGACATTTCAGCTTTTCATTTTTAATGAATTTCATTCACCCACAATCATCATTCAGAATGACTACCAGGGTTAGAAAGATGAATAAATGAAATATACCTAATTTATCTAAACTGGAACAACCAGTTCAGTAACGGTACAATAGGTCCAACTAACAGATTGGATTAGCATAAACTGGTAACCAGCATCCCAGCATAAGATCGTCACCAGCATACCATCATAAACTGGTCACCAGCATCATCAGCTTGACCAGCTGGTTGGCCAGCCTAACCAGCTAGACCATGCTGGTCAGACCAGCTTGTCCAGCATGGACCAGCTTAAAATTTTGGCTGGTCTGCAGTTTTTCAGCAGGGCTGCAGTCACGCGTCTTTGCTATCTGTCTGTGACTCTTTCTCACCCTCTCTCCATCCATGCCTCCCTCCCTCCATCACAGGTGGGAACAGAGACGTGCTGGTCAGCCCTGGCTCATATTTCTTCCTCTCCAACAGCTGTGGTCAGGGAGAGGAGTGGCTCAAGACCCTCAACAAGGGTGTCTGGATACCCTTTACAGGTAGCATCACTACTACATACATATACACTACTAAACGCTCATTACCACACTCAAATGCATACACTTGGCGCTCTCACTGTCTTGAACAAACAATCAATTCAGTCACGCCATATCATTTATTTCAGTTCAACAGACCAGAGTCTGACTCCTCCAGTCTCTACAGGGCTTAGCCCAACCCTGTGTGTGTGCATACCTGAGCCTCACCTCCCCTCTGCCTCCTTGGTGGGCACAGCTGTGTGTCTGCCTTGGCTGGGTGCCTGCTGGGCTTCACGCCATACCCAGTTTGCACATAACATTCTCAGAACCATATGCAAGGGTAAGGGGGATACCTAGTCAGTTGCACAACTGAATGCGTTCAACCAAAATGTGTCTTCCGCATTTAACCCAACCCCTCTGAATCAGAGAGGTGAGCTGCCTTAATTGACGTCATCAGTGCCCGGGAGCAGTTGTTGTTAGGGGTCAGCTGTCTTGCTCAATGGCAGAACTGCAGATTTTTCCAACTTGCCAGATCGGGGATTTGAACCAGTGATCTTTCAGTTACTAGCCAAACACTCTTAACCGCTAGGCTACCTGCCTCCCAACACAATCTCTTTCTTAGAGCTTGGTGAGAGCGTGGTTGTCCTATGGATATTTTGCATACAACCTTCCCACAACTTTCTGGTAATGGTGCCGGACAGTTGCTTGGCTTTGGAACATTGTCAGCACATTTAAGGAACTTGACAAAAAATATTATTTTCATTACTTTAACAGAACTTTTCCTAAAACTTCAAACATGGTTACATGTAATACGCATTTTGGTGATATTCTATGAATTGGGAATGTTCAACAACAAAAAAACGTTATTCTGTGGGAATTTTAGAAACTACAGGTTTCCTCATGATTCTATTTAAAGTAATGTTCTCAAATCACAGGAGGTTGGTGGCACCTTAATTGGGGAGGACAGGCACGTGGTAATGTTTTGCCCATCTTAATCTTTAATTTTTATTGGCCAGTTTGAGATATGGCTTTTCTTTGCAACTCTGAAGGTCAGCATCCCAGAGTCGCCTCTTCACTGTTGACGTTGAGCCTGGTGTTTCACGGGTACTATTTAATGAAGCTGCCAGTTGAGGACCTGTGAGGCGTCTGTTTCTCAAACTAGACACTCTAATGTATTTGTCCTCTTGCTTAGTTTTGCAACGGGGCCTCTCACTCCTCTTTCTATTCTTTCTATTCTGGCCATTTTGAGCCTGTAATCGAACCCACAATTGCTGATGCTCCAGATACTCAACTAGTCTCAAGTAGGCCAGTTTTATTGCTTCTTTAATCAGCACAACAGTTTTCAGCTGTGCTAGCATAATTGCAAAAGGGTTTTCTAATGATCAATTAGCCTTTTAAAATGATAAACTTGGATTAGCAAACACAACGTGCCATTGGAACACAGGACTGATGGTTGCTGATAATGGGCCTCTGTACGCCTATGTAGATATTCCATAAAAAATCAGCCGTTTCCAGCTACAATAGCCATTTACTACATTAACAATGTCTACACTGTATTTCTGATCAATTTGATGTTATTATAATGGACCAAAAAATTTATTTTATTTTGAAAACAAGGAAATTTCTATGTGACCCCAAACTTTTGAACGGTAGTGTAATTTATCTTGTCCTTGATTGCAGCCCATTTGTGTAGGGCATGTTATTAGCCAGACAAAACCGCTGAGATCAACAATCGTGGCAAAATGTATCCTCAAGCCTACTACTTTTTTCATAGTTTTTTGGCTATTTGATGTTTAATTTTTTGAAAAAGTATATAAATAGCAGCTAACTACTGTATATAGCTATAGATAGTAGGTTAAACTGCATAATGAAACAATCCATAGTAAGCTAGTGTTTAGAAGGTGGACTGACAATTTTTTAAATGATAATGCCTGAGAAGCCTGTGTTTGGAGGACAAACAACCAATGTGAAACCAAAAACATACGTTCCCACAACTTCCAAAGAACCAAATGTAATAGCTGGGTAGTTACCCAAAGAGTAAGTCAACCAGAACCAGCAATCCCTAATTGGCAAGCCTGGTGAACTCAATGGCAGCATTGGGGTAGATAAAAAGGCTAAAAAGGGTCTAGAAAGGGGTGGAAACCCGGTGTAAATCAGTGACGCCTCGCAACACATCAAATCAATCAAATGCCTTCCTTGGGCGGAGAGTGTTCAAGCAGAGGAGTTGTAATGCCTTCATCGACTCGATTGTGTGTATAGAGCACACTTCTGACAAAACATAATTCTTTTTTTCCTCAAACTGTTCTTACATTTTCTGCAATGTTGCAAACTAGCATACGCAACGACTCCGCAAAATGTGTCCTACCTGGTTGGACAACAGTAACGAACATAACACGCAGTACCCCTTCTGTGGGCGGAGGGTTCTTGAAATTTAACATCCAATAAACATTTTGCCGTTTCTGCTAATACAAAATTCTCCAGAGGTCCTAGAGGTCTGAAAAGCACAGAGGGAGTACACACGCGCAAGCACACAGGTTGAGCTGAGACGTGCAGGCCTAGTGCTGACTTCCCTTGTGAGGAAATATTGATCCTTACACACAGACCTGAGACTGGCATTGGAAGAATGACTAACATAATCATCCTTTAATATTTCCATCAAAGAACTACAGCATCAGGCGATTCAGGCCATCACAGAGGGAATACACTGGGTCAAAATACTCGTTGTTGTACTCATAAAGACCTGAATGTCCTTAGATTACTTGTGTGCCTATCACAGGAATCTGACCCCATAGCCTGGTCAATGCACAGCAACACATTTCACAAGAGAGATTAACATTCTCAATGAATTCCCCACACCACCCCGGAGCAGTTAGTTCTTCCATCGCTCAGTCTATTGCCTGTCTCCGACACGTCCTTCAGGAGAGAGATTTTCACAGATTAGAGGCCATCATGGCTCACTGAGGCCATACATCCACCTCATTAACATCCAGCTAATGTCCAGCAAGAGAGCCAGAGAGCCAGATTCAGCTGGGGCTGGGGCCAGTTTAGCCCCATATAGTCTTGGACCACCAGGGGAAAGGGGTGGTTCATAATGGCTCAGTGGAAAATTATTCTGAGGGAGCTGGCTGCCTGCAGGCAGAGTAGTATGCTAGGACAGAGGAGAGTGGGGGGACAAAAAGGGTTCTAACTCATTTACTTTTAGTCAATCTGTGACACTGTTCTCCCTTGTTAATGATTCCCGGGCAGGGAGAGATAGGAGAGACAGAGGGTGCCGGCGCCACCTTGGCCATGCTCCAGTGAGTATGGTGGGGAATAGTTTGATAAGGGAGGGAGGTGGGGTAGAGAGAGGGGGTGGAGTAGGCAGGGGCTGGGGAGGGGGCTGAGCCAGGCTAAATAAAAGAGAAAGAGTCAAAGACATAACACTGTGTACTCATACTTATGGTTGGACTGTGGGGATCTTTGAAGGAACCCTAAGGACTACGACCTGAGGGAACAAACATAATCGAATTGGTGAAAAAGATAGCAGCTCAAGGGAGGACTGAGAGTGTATTGGAGAGGGAGGGAGGTATGACACTGGCTGTGTGAAAACATTGGCATGAGGAGGAATGGATGGGACAAGGAGGGAGAGACACGTGCCGCAAGGACACAGCTTGCTCCTCTGGACAAACTAAGTGGTGCTAACCAAGCAAAATTACTGCTGGACAACGCTGGAACACTAACGTCATCTCCTCTGGGTAGGGAGGGAATAACAGACTCCCTGTGGCTGTCACAGTCAACACTGCTATAATAACAGGACACCTTCTTCTAGGAGAGCTGGCAGCTAAGTGGACTCTTTTGTCAACACAATCCAGCCTGAAAGTGTTTCCTCTGGATTTTCAATGCTCACCAGATTGAGTTCAGATAAGCATCGTGGAAGGACTTGCGCCCTGGGAACCAAGTCTGAGGTGAGCGTGAGAGGTGCCGAGCTACTGTACAATTGCCCCCTCGATACTCTTTATCTGCATTCAGCAACAACATGTGGAGTAACTTTTCGGACATTTACAATGTTTAGTGGTGATAAGGACCTGTTTTATCAGTAGAACATTTAGTGTTGCTGGACTCTCCGATCTCCTGTGAAATAATTATCTTAGGAATCTAAAGAGGGGACCTTAGCCACCAAAAATAAAGAGGGGATTTTACTTTCCAAAGTTCAACATCCCGTATTACATTTTGACACGGCTCATGTTCCCATGGTTGTTCTATTCATTGGGATGTTTGCTCCATTGCATGCCTGAGTGATTGTGAGTTTGTGATATGTCAGGCATGTCACAATGCTTCTTCTTGTAGGATGAAATTATTTCCATTGGAATGCTCATTCATCTGATTAGGTCACATAGTTGAGCTCAAGGACCATTGTTCAGCATTGACAAGGAACGTCTCTGCCTCCTCATTTCCTGAGTCATCAGAGCAAAGAGCCTTATCTGTTTACCTGAAGAGAGAAAAGGAGGCGGGGAGAGGAGGAGGGAGGGTGAGAAGAAACACAACACAGAGTACCAGCCAGGAGAGAGTTTACAAAACAAAAGAGAGGTAGATAGGGGTGGGCCGCTTGGGAAAGAATGCACTGGTCTAAGCAGCGACAAGCTGTCACAGGCCATCCCATCAAACAGCCAGACTGGCCAAAGAGGAGAGAGGGGAAGAAAAGAGGTGAAAAGGAGAGTGAGATCTGGACGGGGAGAAAATAAGTGTGAAGAGAACAGAGAAGATGCCGGAGAACAAGGCGACAGCGTGCAGGACCAGCAGCTACCTGTCCCACTCTGCTTACAGGAAGATCAAGCGGGTGCTGAGCTTCAGGAGGCGTGAGTATCTCAGGCCCACAGAGACACACAGAGACACACAGAGACACACAGTGTGAGGCAGGCTGCGTAGACAGGTGGTTTGGAGTATGGAGGGTTCGAGTACACTTGTCTGAAGAAAGGAAAATCCCTGAACCATCAAACTAACACTCTATCATCCTCCGTTTATTCATTTAGCCTGGGTGATCTTAAACTCTCTCTCCTCAGGCGTGTTTGGCCAACGGTTGGAGGAGACTGTTCTGTACGAGCGGCGTTACGGGGTCCACATGGCACCTCTGGTGGTGGAGCAGTGTGTGGACTTCATCCGGGAGCGGGGGCTTCTGGAGGTAGGGCTGTTCCGCCAGCCAGGCCAGGCCACGCTGGTCAAAGAGTTGCAGGATGCCTTCGACGCTGGGGAGAAGCCCTCCTTTGACAGGTAAGAGCACTCCAGTCAACACAAACAGAAACACCACAGTTGAAAATGAAATTAGACCTATTCTCCAGCTATATCTGTATGTTCCGTTATGTGTAGGTGCGTGCCCCCATACGGTGGTAGGGATGTGCTGTATTCTAAGTGTGTGTGTGTATTTGTCATCCTAGCAGTACAGACGTGCACACCGTGGCGTCTCTCCTGAAGCTTTATCTGCGGGAGCTGCCAGAACCACTCGTGCCCTTCTCCAGATACCAGGACTTCCTGGTGTGTGGCAAAAAGATATCCTCTGAGAGGAAGCACGTAAGTCTCCGTCCAGCTGCATCATGCACGCCATGCTGAGATACATCTGATAAACAGAGACATAACACAACCACCATCCTCTGATCTAAAAGTTCTAAGGAGAAATGTAATTGATAAAGTCCATTGATGGTAGCGCACTACTTGCAACAATATCTTCCCCGGTGTCCCCAAGGGTTTGACAGAACTACAGCATCTTATTCATGAACTTCCAGTGGCTAACTTTAACCTGCTAAACTACATCTGCCAGTAAGTCTACAATTTACCTGTAATTCATTAGTAATTATCTCACATCAAGATAACATCAAATCTGCATACAACATACCTCACTTTCAATGCACTTTCAATGCAATGCAAATATAATTGTTTGAATCACTATAGACTTGGCCTGTGGCGCAGTTACAGTAGCTTACAACATACAGAACAACAAACATTAACATCTGTTCAACCATGACACATTTCTGTATGTTATGTAGCAGCTGTGACAAAATCGACCCTGCCCAAGTCTCATGCGGATAAATCACTGCCAATACAGGTTTTTGAACGAAGTCCAGTCCTATTCCAGCGGCAACAAGATGAGCACCCAGAACTTGGCGACTGTTTTCGGGCCTAACATCCTACGACCCAAAGCTGAAGATCCAGAGAGTATCATTGGAGGTGAGTGTGTTTCAGAAAAAAGGACATGAATCAGAGATAGCCTACAGATATAGAGCCAGACAGAGACAGATATAGACAGATAAAGATAGGGGCTGTGTCTGTCTGTCTGGGTGGCCTTGAGACAGTGTTTATATCAACACAGTGTTGTGTAACATGCTGCGTGCAATGTGATGCTGTTTGTATGTTGTTTGTACCATACGTGTCCTGCTGTGACTCAGTGTGTGTCCGTCCTTCTGTTCCCCAGGGGCAGCCGTGGTGCAGCAGCTCATGTCTGAGCTGATCAGGGAGCACCGGTGCCTTTTCTCCAGGGAGGGGAGAGACGTAGACGCCCCCGGTTCCTCACGACCAGACTCTTACCCCTGTCATATATGGAAAGGAGACCCATTCGAGGGGGCGCACACCCAGCCCCAGTCGCATGACTCCAGGCTGGGCATAACAGCCAAGCTCCTCCCCCAACAACAGCTAGCCCACCATCCTTCCCCTTGCTCCCGCCAGCTCTCCGTGCCTCTGATTGCTGAGAGGAGAGGGTCGGCCCAAAGCCGGCGTGAAACCAGCTTAGCCTCACGCCTGTTCAACACAGACAACCAGCAGCCAGCTGAGGGGTTCTCTCCAGTGATCCCTGCTGTTGGGTCTCTGTACCACAGATACACTCCGTCCCAGTCAGAGTCCCAGCCCCCTGAGAAAGCACACAGCCCCCACCTTCACCCTCACCCTGCCTCCCCACTCACAGCCTCTGCTTCCACTGTGACGATACAGGCTGACCCAGACCACAGCAGCATGCTGCCCAGTGGCTGGACAGGCCCAGATGATCCCAGCTGGGCTGCAGAGCAGGGGACCACTGGCACCAGTGGAAGCAGTGAGGCTCAGGACAGCACTCTGTCTGTCTATGACAACTTGGACACACTCCAATGCATGGATGAGGTGGCTGCTGATGGTGGTGCGGGCAGCCCAGCTGGTACAGTGGAGGTGGAGGCGGGCACGGCAAGCGTGGCAGACACCAGCAACTCCTGGTCCTCCTTTGAGATCCTGCACCTGGACGACAGTGGGAGTGGTGTGGTCAGAGCTAGCCTAGGACGGGGGTCCACCAGGTTCCCCTCCTTCAGGACTGACCCAGGAGAGGAGGACCTCCATCCTAACTCCCCAGCCTCCTCCTCTGTCCCCATTGATGACCCCCTGAGCACGGGCAGCTCAGAGGTCTTCCTGCCCTCTGCTCCTCCTGACCCCCACGGCCCCCCGGCCTCCCAGGCCATGTACTGTCTCCTGGCTGGCCTCAGGCAACAGATGGCCAGGCAGAGGGCTGAGTTCGAGGCCAAAATCCAGAGGTAATGGAGCTGTGAATAAATCATGCCAATGCATCAGCAGTCCTTTTCAAATGTCCATATATATTCTATATACAGTCTTCAACATGTGTCAGGTTACGCTAACATGATGTGATGTTACATGTTACGTGCTGCACCACAGTCCTGTTGTACCACCAGTGTGAAAGCTGTGTGTGTGTAACTCCTTGCCCCCCTCTCTCCTGTCTCTCCCAGGTTTGAGCTGCGTAACGAGGCCCTCCATGGGGAGGTGGTGGGACTGCGGGCCAGCCTGGAGCAGCAGCGCCGCTGGTACAGCGTGGCCGAGATCAAGATCCGCAATGTGGAGCGTGCCCGGGCCGACGCCGACCGCCGCAACACCACGCTGCAGAGGGAGATGGAGCAGTTCTTTGACACCTTCGGAGAGCTGAGAGCTGAGACCAGGAAGAGCGAGCGCATCGTACAGAGCTTCTGATGGCCAGTCAGATTAGAGAAAGATTACACTATCAGAGCACTACAACAGCAGCATCAGGAGCATGCAAACACCCATGATCTGAATGGAATGTAAATTGAACTGTCTGTTGCCATGATAAATCCATATTGGATTTGTCTCATAATGATACATGCTTGAGGATGGTTCTAAGAAAGCTTTGAGATGGAACCAGCTGGGATGGACAACTCTACTCGGATGCCTTGGACCTAATATAGTTCAACCAGACACATTGACAACCATACCAGAACAGAATGAGATGGAGACGATGGAGAGTAACACAAGCTATTGAACTCACTAAAAGTTTATATGACTGAAATGAGCCCTATAATATACAGAATCAAAGCTTGGAGAATGACACTTACTGGATCTATAATGGAATATATTGGCTGACAGCTGGCCGTTGGGATAACAGAGCCCCAGACCCAATCAGTAAGTCCTGAGCCACATAGGAAAAGTACTGAAAGAGATGTGGAACACCGTGATCGTCTAGGAATTAACAGAACAAGCCCATGGACCAGGGGTATTCAAATCTTACCCTATGAGGTCCGGACTACTGCTGGTTTTATGTTCTACCTTAAAATGAATTGCACCCACATGGTGACCTAGGTCTAAATAAATTCCTGATTAGAGGGAAAGAATGAAAAAAAAAGCAGTGAAACTGGCTTCGAGGTACAGATTTGAATTTGAGGGCAATAGAAAAACAAGGTGTTGAAATGCAGAAAGGATGCACTATTCCCAATCTTTGACAAAATCCCACATCCATTTAGACACCGTGTGAAAGCTGATCTTAAATAGATTCTGATTTAGTGTATCCAAGTATTTGCATATTGTTCTGAGTTTGTCTAAGAGTCTAAGAAAATACTAATGTTACTGATGCATTTTTTCCCACTGCTATAATTATGAATGATTATATAATTTGGGACCCATCTGAACACTATTTGATGACAGAACAGGCTGAGTAACACCTTTCAACAGATCAAATTGTATTTGTCACATGCTTCGTAAACAAGAGGTGTAGACTAACAGTGAAATGCTTACTTACGGGTCCTTTTCCAACAATGCAGAGTTAAAGGTAAAGATACATTTTTAAAATAAAAATAGAAATAGTGACACAAGGAAAAAAACACAGTGAATAGCGAATAACAATAACAAGTAAAAGTAACATGGCTATATACAGGGAGTACCAGTACCGAGTCGATGTGCAGGGAGGGGTACGAGGTCATTGAGGTAGCTATGTACATATAGGTTGGGTTAAAGTGACTCGGCAATAGGATAGATAAGACAGTAGAAGCAGAGTATGTGGTGAGTGTGTATGTATGTGTGTGTGTGTGTGTGTGTGTGTGTGTGTGTGTGTGTGTGTGTGTGTGTGTGTGTGTGTGTGTGTGTGTGTGTGTGTGTGTGTGTCTGTGTGTGTGTGTGTGTGTCTGTGTTGGGATGTCAATGTAAGTATGTGTAAGTAAGTAGAGGCTGGTGGGAGGAGCTATAGGAGGATGGGCTCATTGTAATGGCTGGAATGGAATCAATGGAATGGAGTCAAACTTGTGGTTTCCATATGTTTGATGTGTTTGATACAGTTCCATTGATTCCATTCCAGCCATTACAATGAGCCCGTCCTCCTATAGGTCCTCCCACCAGACTCCACTGGTGTATGTAGAGTCCAGTGTGTGTGTGCATAGAGTCAGTACAAGAGAGTTAGTGCAAAAATGGTCAATGCACTTAGTCCGGGTAGCCATTTGATTAGCTATTTAGAAGTATTTTTTAGCAGTCTTCTGGCTTGGGGGTAGAAGCTGTTCAGGGTCCTGTTGGTTGCAGTCTTGATGCACTGGTACCGCTTGACGCTTGTCCACCATTGTTCCTGTACCCAAGAAAGTGAAGGTAACTGAACTAAATGACTATCGCCCCATAGCACTCACTTCTGTCATCATGAAGTGCTTTACCAACCGATGATGCAGCCAGTCAAGATGGTCTCAGTGGCGCAGCTGTAGAACCTTTTGAGGATCTGAGGGCCAATGCAAAATCTTTTCATCCTCCTGAGGGGGAAGAGGCGCTGAGTTGCCCTCTTCACAACTGTGTGGGTGTGTTTGGACCATGTTAATTCCTTTGTGATGTGGACACCAAGGAAGTTGAAGCTCTCGACCCTCTCTACTACAGCCCCATCGATGTGGATATGGGGGTGTGCTCGCCCCTCCGTTTTCTGTAGTTATTGGAGCCTTGTAGCTTTTACACAAAACCAAAATGTGTAGTTCAATATTTCTGTCCAGAATTCTTATCATTCATGATGTTATTTACATGATGAGAGCAAAATTATGCTTATCTTCCATGAAAACATACTTTTACTAAATAATGTTGCAGTGGAATGTACGCACATACACACACACACACACACACACACACACACACACACACACACACACACACACACACACACACACGTATGTAATAAAATAACTCTTAAGCATATAGATCCCATCTACTGTTCAAGTATTTTATTTTGCAGAATAAATGTCCTCCCTTGATGTCAAATGATAATAATCTCTGAGTTTTTGCATATTTTTCCAGACAGGACGAATAAAGTGGAACATATTCGTTTTTTTCAATCACTTTGGCAAATTTTTCAGATGTACAGTAATTTATATATTTCCAAACTTGTAATGGCCTCTATCTTATGTTCAGAACCTTTGATTGTGCATTCGTTGAGGTTTCACTTATCTTTCACCCCCAAGTAATTCATGCAAAATCTAAGTTTTCCGTGAAATACCATGAGCACATTTTGTTTAGCCACCAATACATCAGATAATGATAGGCTCACCATTTAGTCATTTTAACTTCCATTTAATCCAATAGCAAAAAATACAGGATACACATTTCAAAACAGTTTTTTTAAAGTGCTGAATAGAAAGAATAGTATATGGTAAATATTATTTTCCATACAGTATTTGACTAAAACTTGGCATGTACCATTTTTTTTAATAAATGTATCCAATGGCAGGTTGTGAGCATGTTGAGAAATATGTCAGTCTTAGTTTTATTATCCTTATACAGTACATACATAGGACAAATCATCAGAAATAGGGGTATTGTAAAGCAGTTGGCTACTGTAAAAAAAAAAAAAATCCCCATGCAACATACAGTATCGCCTGTCTCTGCTTGAAATTCATCAGCTTACAGTGTATCAATGAAATTCAGATAATGAGTGGAATATATTGTTTTATACAATGGGTGGTTCTAATCCTGAATACTGATTTGTTAAAACCGCATTCCAGCCAGTGTCTATTCCACAAGTTACCACCGGCTAAATCTATGACGTTAAAATGCCTATTTACTCTGTTCCATCTGACTGCACAATCCACTGTCTTATCAGCCCAGCCAAGCAATTTATAAACTTGATCTCCACTATAAAAAGCATCTAGACATTATCTCACATTTATTTTCGACTAACATTTAGTTTTCAACAGTGGAGATTTGTATAAACCTTGCTGTCTGTCTCTCCGACATTTGCAACATTGTTTCAATATTCAATTTAGATCTCCAGCTGTCGGATGTATCCAAATAAATGTCACTAGAAAACAGCTTAAACAAATTATAATGCAGCTACTTTGTTGTTTTCTGGCTGCACTGTTTGACGTGACTGTAAGTTAGCAATAGTTGGCTAGCTAGCAAGCAAGGGATAAGAACGTTGCCAGCCAGTAAGGCAATAGAACGACTGGGTTACGTCCATAGATACAGAACAAAAAGACTGAACGACTGTGTCGCGTCTCTGGCAAGCGAACCGATAGAACAAACGACCAGCCGGCTTGGATAGCAACCCTAGATTTGTGACGGGACTATATCTTGCGGAAGGATGAAATAGTATGAATAAATTCATCAAAATAACGTTTTTAATGAAAATATGTCAAACATTAATTGACATCCAGGCTCTGTCGTTGCCGGCCGCGACCGGGAGACCCATGGGGCGGCGCACAATTGGCCCAGCGTCGTCCAGGGTATGGGAGGGAATGGCCGGCAGGGATGTAGCTCAGTTGGTAGGTTGTGGGTTCAATTCCCACGGAGGGCCAGTATAAAAAAATAAATAAAAATAATGTATGTAAGTCGCTCTGGATAAGAGCGTCTGCTAAATAACAAAAAAAATAAAAAAAAATAAAAAATAAAAATTTGAATACAAAATGACAAAAACCAAGTTAAAAAAAAGTAATAAATAAATAAAATAGAAAAAGAAAAAAAATATGTTGGTAACCCGTTGTATAAAAGTGATAATGCCCTCGAAGCCAGTGTTTGGAGGATATATTGGCACAGTTTGCGGGACCTTGACTTCGTCTCGGGCCTATCAACACCCGTTCCAATATATCCTGAAAACACCGGCTTCTCTGGCATTATCACTTAAATATACAACCCAGTTACTTCAGCAGTGCATTGTACACTACACTATATAATTCCAAATGGTAGCACATAGAGTGAGTCTTTCCACTTTGTCCTATTGAAGCACACTGACTGATGGAGAATGGTGATATAGTATTTACAGCCACATCCATATATTATTTTGTTTTACCTTCCAACATACATTTATGTCAAATTGATACATTTATGAGGTAAAAATATAAAAATGTAGTGTTCAGCAGTTATCAAACTACACTGCTCAAAAAAATAAAGGGCACACTTCCTGAATGAATGAAATAATCTTATTAAATACTTTTTTCTTTACATAGTTGAATGTGCTGACAACAAAATCACACAAAAAATATCAATGGAAATCAAATTTATCAACCCATGGAGGTCTGGATTTGGAGTCACCCTCAAAATTAAAGTGGAAAACTACAGGCTGATCCAACTTTGATGTAATGTCCTTAAAACAAGTCAAAATGAGGCTCAGTAGTGTGTGTGGCCTCCACGTGCCTGTATGACCTCCCTACAACGCCTGGGCATGCTCCTGATGAGGTGGCGGATGGTCTCCTGAGGGATTTCCTCCCAGACCTGGACTAAAGCAT